ATTATAATTTGAACATTTCAGAAACACTTCCCGAAATTTATTGACAAACGAGATATGATCGCAAGCTGCATATGCACATGCATACAAACATATTATTGTTATATTTCAATGTTATTAATCCGCGCTACATTATGCATATTTGTACTTACATAAGACAAAATTGTTAGCTTCATCCAACAGCACACCAGCTTTAATAAGCACTAATTCAAAGTAGCTCTTTGGTGGGCGGCCACTTAAGTTTCGCGACTGTGTACGTCCTAGTGAAGAGGCAATCATGCTACGTTGTGACAAATAGCGTTGAGTAGCTTCTTGTGAAGCTGGTATATTCTCTTCGCTGCTGCCCCCACCCTCCTCTAAAGTACACACATCAGCTACAACTGCAGTTGTGGAAGTTGGTCGAGTCTTTTTCTGAACTGAGGCCACATTTAAGGATGTGCGCTAAACCAGAAATGTTTTGTTTATTAAATATATTTATCCCCCATATGTACATAGGTGAGTATGTGTACAATAATTGCATATCCAAGACTTACAGCAAACTTAACCGATGCATTTTCATCAATTGAACCCAAAGGCCTTTTATTCTCCATAGACCCCGATGCTTTGGTATCTTTGGCGGGTTTCGCACCTTTATTAAATTTGCGATTCTTATACATTCTGTTTTCAATTATATTATATACAAAAAGTTTATACAAAATTGCCCGCGTAACTTCAATTGGACTTTGCGAAAACCCTCGCAGGGATGTCGGAAAAAACCGATGTATCGAAAATATCGATGTTTTGCTTCGTTGCATCGGCATGTATCGATGCATCGTTGGTTCGATGTTTTTTGAAAACTGACATTTCTAGTACAAACGTACCAACCCAACAACCATTTAAGGCCTTGTCTCCACAGGAAAACACTAATGTGATAACCATGTCACAACACATGATTCAATAATGAAAGGTTTTGTACAAGGCGTATTTAACAAGGTGGTGTTGGCCGTATATAAGTAAAAAATTACACTAACAAATTATACGCTGATGTCCATACTGTCATTGGTATGAGTTACAACAAACACATCATTTTGACGTAATGGCCTCCACGGCGAAAAACTCAGCTGGCGCCCCAACACCACCTTGTTTAATACACCTTGGTTTTGTAAGAAAAACTTTCTCTCGCTCTAATTTTATCAATGACACTCCCACCCTACTCCCAAAAACAAAAACAGTGATATTTCTTTTCCAAATTTCTTTGCAGGTTTTAAGAACATTTTAAAATTTTTAGTAGTGAAACTTTTACTTTTTAAACTTGAAGAAATGTTTGTTCTTCATTCGCTGGCGACAACAAGACGAAATGGGTGGATTACAGAAATTCAATGCAGGCTAAAGAGACGAAATTCCCTTAAATGCCGAAATGTCTTTGTCGATATTCGTGGAGACCTATTAATTCTGCCAAGGCGCTGTAAAGTAAAGCGCGCAATGGTTCTGGTAAATGAGCCAACGAAGATATTTAGGTATTGACCTACGCAACACAATCCTGCAGTGGAATTCTAACAATCGCTATGCTAAATTTCCATCGCTAAAATTCTCTAAATTAACAGCCGCGGGGCCTAAAAGTGCGCAATTTGCAAAAGTAACAGAAGCAAAGTGTAATCAGGCAAATCTGGCAGTATGAGGGGCATGTAACTAAACGTTGCATGTTGTTAAGCGCGCCTGCTATTCTTTTGGAGACCTTTAGCGATCAAAATTAGCGATAGCGAATGCTGGAATCCGGCTGCTGGTATCTCCGAATGAGACTTTGACGCAATATAATATTAGCAAACCGCGTCCATGGGGCCAATCGTAAAACCCGACAGCTCGGTTTAGTCAATGGCGCGATATAATTGCACACTTACGGCACTTCTCATTTGACGATGGAGATCACGTTTCCTGTCTCAGTCGTTCAGTAGCTGCGTGTCCTTTTTATTCTTCCTGTCGTCCGGCACGAAGCGCCAATCGCGACTGTATAAGCCAATGTTTAATATTCTGACAGCGGCATAATCTCCCCAGAACACTAAAAGTGCCATATCAAAGAACTCGAGTTAGCATATTCGAAGCAATCGAGCCATAATCGCGAAAGAATCGTAAGCTCCAAATGTTTTTATTTGGCGTTTTTTAATCAAAACTCCATAATTTTTCCACAAAAAAATAGCTTCTTCATATCTATCTAATGTAAATGGTACCGCAAAGAATTTACAAGGCAGACAAACAATAAAAAAAAATAGCTCTGAGGGGACCATCCATTCTTGAGTTATGCGCCGTCTGACGTACGCAACTTTGGTATATTCATAGCAAAATTTATTTTTAATAATAATCAGGGGTTGTATTTGATGTAAATAAGCTGGTGTAAATTAATTAATTAAATCAAATTCGTTTTTGTATTAAAACACCACGATGCACCATTATCCACGCTTTTTTGTAGAATTTCGCTACGATTTAGGAAGTGTGATTGAATTCTTCCCCTTTTTCTCCTGCTTCCAAAAACCATCCCTGTGGGTGGGAGTGTCAAATTTTAGAAAATAGCTACTTACAAAACCTTTAATAATTGAATCATGGTCACAACATATACTTCCAATGGAGACCGCCCATGATGCAATAATACAAGGTGGTATCAGTTGTGACAGCTCGATTTGACACTGCCTTAGCTCAGTAGAATAAGAAGAAAAACGGGAAGAAATTAATCCCCATTTGGGGGAAAAATATAAGATTTCATATTTTCTCCTAAACAAAATTAGCTTTTTTATAGTATATTCGCAATGAAATGAAATAAAATAAGATATAATACCTTTTTGAGAAAACAAAATGCGTATACTGAGAAAAAATAAAAAAAATCAACTGTATTATTAGGCAAAGAATTGTTAAAGAAGTAACACTGTTTCAGCTAAGGCAGTCAATATGGTGGAATTAGAGCGAGAAGTTGCCAACCGATAACACCTTGTATTATTGCATCATGGAGACCGCCTATTTCTCATGGGCTGCAATATATGTTAGCGCTTATTGCTTGACATCTATTGCAGGCAATTCGATAGTTTGACAGCCATATTTGCATTTGAAAGAAAGCATGCTGGTGGTAACATCGATGAAATTTTGATATTGAATCAAAATAAAAATCTGTTCCCTATAGGACTATTTATGATTACGTCTTAGGAAATTATTCAGCAAGTTTTTTAAAGGTTTAAATGTTTTTAAACACCGAAATTGAGAGAATGTTGTCTGGTGGCTTCATGCAGCAAATGCTTATTTCAAGACATCAAAGTGTACACACACAAAAACTTGCAATCATATTTCTCGTCAAAATGACGGTTGGTTGGCCATCGGTGTTTGCCTGTGGAGTTCTGCGGTAAGGCCGGTCCACATAGGGATGCAAATTTTGAGCAGTAACATTGATACATGGATGTTTCGATGCATCGGAGAAAAGAACATCGAGGCTAAAATACATCGCCAGAGAATCATCGATATATCGATGGTTTCCGATGTTTTGCAATTTGTTAATTTCTAGTTAAATTTAAAGCAATACTGAATACTTTAATAATTATGAATGTATTTTATTATCCTTTCTATACCCTTTCTATTATTAGAATCAAAATGCATACCATCGTAAGTTCGTTCGGGCCTAAAGATCCTAGGCCTGATCTTGTTGAAATTCTAAAGGGTGTTTGGTTCTGTGTTAACGGCTAGGTTATTAGCATTCAGAATGAATCCAACAATTTTATTGAGCTTGGGCCGCTTTTTATGAAAAATGTTGTGGAAAAGCAACAACAAAACAATCGATAAAACTAGAATGGACACCGAAAAGTTATCGGTTAAATCTGAGATTATTTTATAATTACAGATTAACAAGTGACGAACTTTATATGGCTAATCTCTTTTCCTAATTATAGATTAAGGAGTTAAGCTCGTTATAAGGTTTACACAATTATAAGTTTATACGGTTTACAATGCATTTATAAGGTTTGATGAATACCCTTATTATTTAATTTTTGTTGGTAATTTTCCTCTTTATGTATATAGCTCTAGTTTTTCACTTGATAATTATAAATTCGTTTCTCTATCACTTTTTACGTATCTTCGCGTCGGATAGAGACGAGTTGGTTGTAAATTTTTGCTTATTTTGTATGTAAACACACTCAGTTCACAGATGTAAATAACCAAAAGTACTTTCAAATTCGTTAAAATCCACTTAAACAAGTAATTAAATACTTTTCAACATGAATTAGCAGAAAAGTGCACTTCTTTTGTTTACAATTTGGTTGCCAAACACACTACAGCTGATCGTTTGACACATTTACCAGAATTTACCAGCAAAAAATTCTCGGACTAAAACTGGTAACTTCTGACAGAGAGATAACCGTATTTACTCTCTTTTTTGTCCTCTCAATAGTCAGAGAACCGAGTACGGAATCGATTTCCAGTAAAATCTGACTGATTCTGACTATTTCTGACTAGTCCGGACTCGTACGGGATCGCAACTATTTTTTTGGTGTTTGTTGGGATAGTACGTTCTCTGATTGAACCGCCATTTCAGTTATTCAATTGTGCAAAAACAAGTGAGAAAATTTAATTCGCTCCAAAAATCTCCGTTAGAAAAAACATAATTAGCGCAATTCAGTAATTAATTTTGAATTTTGCTAATAAAAATGCTCTGCCACGAAAACCTACCCAGCTAAAAGCTTTCTCCCTTTATTCCGACTGCGTCGAAACAGCACATTGCTTGGACTTGCCGTTAGCTGAGCTTGACGACAACGATTTATAAAACCACATATCCGTTCTTAAGGCGGATTTATTGTTCTAGTACTGAACTTTTCCTTCCATGTCGTTGTTGTCGCCTTTTCTCCCAGAGAGCATTTCTACTGAACTCAGATAACTTGTAGTCTTTTGTTTCAACCTAACTTAAATAACGAAATAAAACAATTTTTTCAGCTAACGTAAACCAGTTAAGTTTTTAATTAAAATCTTTTATTTTTAATATGTATTAACTCTACAACTACAAACTTAAGCTATTATTGCTTAAACATCTTAAAGATGTTTTAATTTACCGCGCAACTTGCCCAATATTAAAATCTGGAGCAAAAAATTAAAAAAACATTACCGCAAATCATTTTGGAAAACAACTTGAATTGAACGTTAATTATGATATTTCATAGATTAACTTTCCTCTATATGCATGTTAGTATCAATGTATGTATGTACGTATGTACTATATGTACGCAGTTATATGTAAATATTTACATTCTGTCATTTTAATATTTAAGCGATATAAAAATGTGCTTATACATAGGTGAGTAAATTGACGATGTGCCCATTACAAATTTAAACGAGGTCTATTATAATATTTATTTTCCAATTGAGGCCATGCGAGCAGAAGTAGTCTAACCAAAAAAAAAAAAATCCGTAATTCTCTACCTAAAATAATCGCAAGTGTGATACACCTTAAAAAAAAGTTGCTTAATCCTTAATTTTAAGCTACATAGCAAAATAACGTACCATTAAATTAAGCAATACGCGACCTTTATTTAAAATTTTTCATATTTGAAACTATTTTAAGAAGTTAAGTACAAAAAAAAATTGTTTGTTAGGCCACTTCAGCTCATGGCCTCAATTCTCCTATCATGTGCACGTTTTTATACATACATATGTTTGTACGTACATATTAACTCTCCTCAGAACATTAAATATTATGGTGCTGATTTATAATTTTTTGAAGATTTGTGTGAATACAAACGATTACATAAGTATAGATAGAATGAACTTTACATACATACATACTAATACTGGAAATACTAGTTTTCATATTTAGTTTTTCATTTTTAAAACATTTCTTTAAGAGTGCCTCTATTATCAGTGCATGTATGCGTGTATAAAATATCACTGAAATTTTAAATTTTGTCGTAATTTTAAATTTGCTTTTTCGTGCGTCGACGCTTGAAACCAGTCATTTGCTTAAGTAATTGCGAGTTTTCATCGTCCATGTCCATGCTGGGTTCCCACAAACGCAAACGTCTCGGAATATAAATTAGACCAATTAAAGTGATTGCTATAAAAGAGAAATTAAAAAAAAAAGAAACAATCAAATGTTGAAAATATCTACATATAAATATTTGATGTTGCATACATATAATGTATATGTAAGTATATTATACATGTACGTATGTATATATAATATAGTATACAAATATATTTATGTGCGAAAGTCATGTTTCGGAAGTTACAAAATGAATACTATATACTATTTCTAACTCTAAAACCCCGGAAAATGTAATTATATTAGGGCCGGTTGTTCAATGTCCGGTTAACACAAATCGGAGGTAGAAGCACCGGTTAAGTACAAACCCATTTGACCTATTCCGCCGGTTTGAAAAATTGTTAATTAAAATAATTGGAAATGTTCGACGAAAATCTGAATTTTGACCAGTGACAGTTGACTCTCAGTGAGCTTTAGTGTAAGCGACCACAAGAAGTGGTATGCCAGTATTATCAGTTTTTAATTTTTATAAACCTTGGTAGTGACCCCCATGTTTTATACTATTCAGTATGAAAAGGGTGTACAAAAATCTACGGAATCAAAATAATGATAATTTCTAAGATATTAACAATATTTATAAATGATTAAATTATATGTCGATGGCTGAATGGAAGACCGACCTTAGAACATTTTTAAATAACGCCTTATTTCAGAATTTGTGTAAAGAACGCCCAATTTTAGAATGTGATTGGAAACCGCTCTACCTCCGGATTCGGTTCTTTTATTTATAACTTCATAATGAGTTAAAAAAAAATTACATAAGAAATGCAACTGCAACTAAAAGTATTGATTATGCAACCTTGCATATGGTGTAAATTACCGCTGATTTTTTAGAAATTTCTTTGTCGCATTTCCTTTCGTATAACGAATAAACACAATAGGGGTATTCTCGAAGTCGTGCACGATGCACGGATTGCACGAAATGCAAAAATACTATTCCAAATTTCGAAGAGTACGAGAACACCCCATTGCAAAGAGGTAGCATGCATGGGGAGCAAGCAGCGAAATTATGTATCAAATACAATAACAAGAGACAGCAAAAAAAAAATTAAGTGAGCGAGATGAGAGGAATGAGAGAAATATGTAGCAATTCCAACAACAAAACAACTAGCACAGGGTCGCTATTATCTTGCTATGCTATTTTGCAAAATATATACATGGGTTTCGACGTTGCATATTTTGCAGCGATAGGAAATGTTGTTTCCCATGAATTTTCTTGTTGTGTGTTTGCAATTTATGCAATCCGTGCAATCCGTGCTACGTGCAATGGCTTTGCAAGATTTGGAGAATACCCCTAATTTATTTTTATGTACACCGCCTTCGGGAAACATATTCTAAAACGAAAAATTTAAGCCACTTGAAACTTGCATTTTATTATACTAGAAATTAGTGGGCTACAAAACTTTTAAAAATCGTTCTAGAAAATCAAATTAAAAAGCTCGAAATTTTTACGAAAGTTTTTTGATTTTTTTAAATATTGCACAAAGTTTGAAACTTAAATTTATACGAGTTTTGTTAAAGAATGAACTATATTAAAAAAATAACTCAAAATAAATAATTGTGAAAACTGGTCAAAATTTTGGTATACTAAATTTTTTCGACCACTGTATGTATGTAAATATTATACACATGTACATATGTGCTTGAGTGCTGACCCGATGCGACTACTAACGTAACATTTTCTGGGGGAGGTAAATTTTTAATTTTTTTTTTTTAAGTTTGAAGTCGAAAATACGTTTTAGTTTTTTTATTATTTCGAGAAAAGAAAACGCCATTAATTTATATCGAACAAGCCGGTCGCTTTTTAAGTTTTTAACAATGCAACTATTTGATTGTATTTTGATGCCCATATATTCGAAACTCCTGTTTTTAATGTCCTACTCACTCTCTCACATGCCTGTCTGATAGCAATAATAAGCAACAATAAAGTATGTTCGCACTTAAATTTAAGCCATTTATAACAAAAATTTTATAAAGAAAGTTCCCGCTACGTCCTTTTTTGATTTTTTTTTTTAGTTTATTTAATGTTTATTATTTTGTTATAAAAGTATAGCCGATTACTCAATGAACACCATATAAGTATGAATTCAGAATTTGTGGAAATATTATGAAAATTCAGCAAAATTTTTTTAACTTTTTAATCAGCATATTTAGAAAATAGTGTATATGTAGTTTTGTAGTCCATTCAAATTTAGTATGGTGTGGTGAAAATTTTAGGTAGCTAGGACTTACCATTGATTTTTTAAATTTTTTTATAACGGTGCACGATTTTTTTCCCATACAAACTATGTTCTATTTTTTTTTTTTATATGGAAAAAATGCGGAATACCGCATTCAAATTTTGAATAAAAAAAAAATCTGAATTTTCAAAGTTTTTGCATAAATTATGACATTTAGATTTAAATGGTGTTTATAAATAATCAGCTATACCTTCATAAAACATACGTACCCCCCGAATAATGAGTTTCAATCCATAAAAACGATCAGAAGCATCAAAATCAACTATGTAAACTTCAAAGTCGTTTTTCTCGAAATCTTTTTTCTGAGCGTAAATCCCTTTTAACTTTACGTGTCACATATTATGCTAAAATGTCGCGTCGCAGTTCATACTGTACTGTTCACTGTATGTATATTCACATAAAATAAAAATTATTGAATTTAGCCCAGTATTTTAAGACTTTTCGGATTACAGGAAATTCCTTCAATTTATATATTTGAATTTTAATAAAATGCGGCAAATAGCGAAATCGGCTAAAAACGGGTAATTTTTTTTTTGTAAAACAGCTAACAAATCGGCTGCCGGCTAAATCGAATTTTCTCCGGCTGTTTGCTATCGCTACCTGTTAAATCTAGCCCGAAAACTGGCAATACTGGGCATATCAAACCGGTAGTAGCATTAGAGCAAAAATAACATTTGCATTTTGTTGTTGTGCTTCTGGTATCGAAAGCATCAAAAACTGTTCTGATTTTTTTCTTCTAAATGAAAGCATGCCATGTGATATACAAAATAAAAATAAAAAATAAAAACTTTAAATTGGAAAAAATTTAAATTGTTGTAACTTTATTTCTTAGTAAATTTGCTTGCTTCTCGAAGCATTGATCCATCCTTTGCAATGCCCAGTAATCAGCGGTTGTGCTGTTGAGTTGGACGAGCGTTTCCAAAGCTGCTATTCAATCGTTTGTTTTGTATGGAAGAAGGTTTCACATGCAAATAGATTTTAACAACTTGAAAACGTGAGAATAAATTAAAAATATTTGTAATTTTCGAGACCAAATAATTTAAAAAAAAAACTCAAATCAGCTGCTATACTGATACCACCTGTTCAATGTGCCTTCAAATCAGTTAGGCTGAATTAAAAAGCAATGAGCGATCAAAGATGTTTTTATGAAAAAATTAGCAGGAGAGAATGTTACTCATATGCCATGTACACATGAGTAAAGCTCTTTCTTTTATTTTCGGTTGTTAGGGGTTTTTTTTTTTTTAATAATGTTTTAGATATTTAGTGGAGCGATCTGCTTCTCCTCACTACTTTCCTCTCGAAAAAGAAATACTCGTATTGATGTCACGTGATCTGCAAGAACCCAAGAGACTTGTAAATTTATCCTCTCTCACCTATGTATGTACCTCGTCAGTGCTAAAGATTCATAACTCTTATTCAAGTAGGAATTAAATATTGATCATTATAGGTTTTACTACTTCTTGAATTTTGTAAGTTCTTTGGTTCTATTCGTATGGAGCGCAAAGAATTTTCTCATATGTAATTAGTTGTGTTCTTTTACCATACAGACATATTTGCATAAACATTTTTTTTAGAACACTGTTCCCCATATATGTTATACTTCTATATTGGCAGTAAGCTAACTTCTCAATGTGTAAGCATTCCGAAATAGTATTACATAGTATATACTGTTCTCAGTGTTTAATTTTCTAGCTTTATAGTCAAAACTTACAATTGAGAACGCACGGAAAGATCACGTAAAAGTTCAGTGTACTCGAACGAAAATATAAAGCTTCGGAAGCATAGAGAACCATAGTTAAAGCCAACGAACAGCCGCCCATGCTAACAACTCTGTAAGAAAAAATATATAAAAATCTATGTTAAACGGAAGCCATAATATTTCAGTGGTTATACATACATACATATGTATGCGCAGGTATGTAGGTAAGCATATATTATCCCAATGGTAAATTGAATTATCTCAAAAGCAACCTACGAGAAGTATACACATGTGTACTTACAACTTAGTTACTCTCACGCTTACTTTGCATTCGTTTTAATAGAAAAGTTGGTATGCACCTGCAGTGAGCAATAATAAAACAACAAATAAAACGCGTAAAAGAGGTAAATGCAGGAAACTCGTTTACGGCCACTTGCCAGTGCTACTTAACTTTAGTGCGGCAGTTTTTCTAACTGCTGAACTGAGTTTAATTTTCACTTTGATTAGGATTTTGAGGCGATATTCAGCTCCAGTTTGAATAGTACGCCTTTAATTTGCCACCATTTGTTGGCGCATACGACAAGGCATTATCGATAGTAAGCCCAATGCTAGTGTGATGATATACAAAAATAGTGAATGTTTAACCCGAACTAGAAGACATGGTTATAATTTGAAGACAAATGCAGTACTAATGGATTTCTCTCTCTGGTCTGCCACACTTTGCATTTATCTTGTATCAATTTGAAGACACCTTGAAATGAAAGGGTAAAACTTATCTTGGCTTGAGACTATTTCCATTTGTACTAAAGCGATAAAACACACTCACAAATCCTTACACACATACATACATACATAGATACCTATGTTTGTTTGTACCTTTATGAATTCTTACGGTAATAATGAACTTTTCAATTACTTACGGTCTGTAGTGAATATAGAGCGTGCAGTGAACTAATGCAATCGCCTTAAGTAAGCAATACATGCCAATTATACGAGAAATGGTATAGTCGCCTGAAAATATACAACACATTAGACTAAATACTTTTAAGAAATAAAGTTATTATTTAAATAAGCCACATATTTTCATTATATTAAAAAAACTGCTAACCCGCCTAATGACTAATGAAGTATTTATTGCAGAGGTAGTCTGTAACTGAAAAGCAGAGAAGCCTAAAAGTACGCAACATGATGCAATGTGTAATCAGCCAAAACTGGCCGTATGCGGAACATGTAACTAGATGTTGCTTGTTTCAGGCACGTCTACTATTCTTTTGTAGAGTTTTGGCGATCAAAATTAACGATAATGAATGTTGAAATCCGGCTGCTAACCCTTTTTTTTCGCCTGCTTCCCCATTTCTCGAAACAACACTTACTACAATATGTGGCCAATGTATTACAAATGGTACTCAGATGTTTACATTTCAAAGTTTATATTATTTTTTGATTTTTAATTAATATTTGGAACGGAGTTCCTGAAAATTCAGCAAATTTTAAAAATTTTTAATCAAAATTGTCGGAAAATTTTGGGTATACAGTTGTATAGCCTATTCAGTTTTGGTATAAAAAAGTAGGAGATTAATGGCTCAAAATTTCCGTTGACTTTAGATTTTTTTTTGCTTTTGTATGATTATTTCCTTTCATACAAATTATGTTCGAAATTTTTGTATAGTTAGGAAAGAAAATGCACAATTGCCAATTCCAAAACAGCACGCCAGTTGTTTCACTTCTATGCCAACTGACGCTTATTGGAAATGCTAAGTGAAGTCAATTCCTTCTCCACTCGGTCTTTCCAACGCAGAGGAGGCCTTCCTTTTCCTCTGTATTAGTTTCGCGTGGATACTAAATTCAGACATCGCGGCAGATACTAAATTCAGACAACTTCTTTTTGTGCTGTCGGAAGCGGCTTTGAAATCGACAAATAGATGGTGTGTGTTGATCCTATTCTCAAGAGTATTTTCCAAGATTTGAGAGACTTAAAGTCACACCGATAAGGCCCAATCAGTTCGTTTACAGTGGGATTCAGTCTTTCTCACAATATGCTCGATGGTATGGTTCCGTACGCAGAAGTCCACGTAAGCTGGGGAAAGCTTTTGACTGACATTCACCTGTGAGCAGCCAGAAGTGTTTCCTTTGCGTACCGTTCAAATCGCAGCTAATTACGTCCAAATTTGTATATCTACGTATCCTTCCGTAGTAATCTTTTTCTACAATATTTCCGTTGTGTATCCAAACAACAACACTTAGGAATCTCTTAATTAGTTATTTAATTCTTACCTTCAATAAACTGAGTGTCTGTGTGGTCTCCGAGAAAACTCCTTCGCTCTATATAACTACGAAAAGCTGTTCCTAAATCCATAAAAGCAACAAATGCTATCCAACCCCGAAAGGCGTATAGCAATTTGCGCTCCATTTTCGTTTGGTACGGCATTTTGTCGGCTTTTTCTTTACCTCACAACGAAATAATTTTTCAATCAAAATTAGCGAAAGTAGTATGTATGTATGTCGGTTGATATGCCCGCTTGAACCTGAGTTTATCTGTATACAAATATAAGCAATACATAAATAGTATATATATGTATGTATGTATACAAAACATAGAGTAAATAAAGAGCAATAAAGATTTTTATAGCTGAAGTACTTATGTATGCAGTTTCTTAAGAACAATTTAAGCATGGACAAATATGACCATATCTATATTAAAAAATGAAAAATTTCAGATTTTGGACTCTAGTGACATCTGGCAGAACTTATTTTTGGAGAGGATTGTGCCATAGTACGAGACTGCTGTACATATGTATGTACGTACATATGTACATACATGAGTAAATCTCACGAGTGTTTTTTTTAGTGTCACTCCTTTCTCTCGCCAGAAAAAAACGCTAAAGCATTATGCGTTGCATTTATTTCAATCAAAGGAGTTCCAGAAACAAGTGCAATAAAAAATACAGTGAGCTCGTGATAATCTGAACTTATTAAAACCAAGCCTGTTAATTTTTGCGAGATTGTTCATATTTACGAAAGGCTCAAGAATTAAATACCGTTTTAGTACCGAAATTACTAATTTTTTTCAATAACTTTGGAAAGTTTTCAAATGGAATGTTCATATTAGAGGCAATGGAAGTTGGCATCAAATACAGCATGCAGAATATCTGTCGCAAATATTTTGTAATTTTTGAAATATTACGATTTTTTTTTTAATTTTAATAATTTGAGATACTTCATAATGTGTTAAACGGAGTAAGGGCCGTATTCACCAACTCTGGTTAACACTAATCACTAGTTAAAATTTTTTTCCGATGTTACCGACACAGTGTTATTTGATTGGTGTCAGGAACGTCGATAACGATGTTTAACCGGAGATTAGTGTTAACCAGACATTTGGAAACTGGCCCTTACTCCTTACTTAATGTTCTTCTTGCCAAAACGAAGGAATCTACATAGTGTAAAAAAACTGGTCTGCCACCAAATGAAAAAAATTACATTAAGTAAAAGATGACTATTATTTAAGAAAGACAAAAATTCCATTTTTATAATCTTTATTGGCACACTCGGAATTCAGTCTTAAATTTTTATACACTTGAAAAAAGTATTATATTTATATGTAAGTACATACATAAGGAATAGTGTGGAGAAATCTTCCACGCCAATAATTAATTACTTTAAAATAATACGACTTTTAAGTTGAGGCGTGCGAGTAAACATGTTAGCACAATGTGTATGGTGCTTCGGGGCGTATACGTTACATACACAACTACGGGTAAATAAGCACTTGTTATTTTTAATTTTTTTTTTGTGGCAAATACAAGTTTAAAGATGGACATTTTATTTTATAGAGATTTTCTAATTTTTTCAGGCTTTTAAGGTTTTATAAGGTTTGAGCCTTCTTGAAAAAGTATGCTGTCAAATTCCCTGTCAACAAAACTCTATCTCGCTTGCGAGAAAAAAAGTATTACGCAAGCGAGATTTTGAAGCAGATGAAGACGGCGGATAAATACAATTTCGCGATGGAATCTTCGTCTTTTTGGATCAAAAACATGTTTTTGGCGAGAAATGTAACAACTCGTGAGATTTACTCATATCGCTTTGCAGACTTCGGTTGTGGAGCAGCTTCTATACAATTACACAAATCATTTTTCAGGCTTGAGCGTCTTAAGCCGCAACGCCTGAACAACCTGCTTTGGAACTTTTGCTTAAGTCTCGTAAAAAAAATTCAAACTTAATTTCCCAAAATTTTCATTTTTACACATTCATGTTTCTGGCAGACGGGCGACGATATAAAAACAATCAGCCTTATCATGAGTTGCAATTTCCCCGAAACGGCTCAATTTTGGTTTCCATGGTTTTACTATGGGCGTATGACAAATTTTCAGGTAAATTTTTTTCAGGCGAAGCTCGGGATTAGGAAGAATTCTTATTCAGCCTTATCATGAGTTTCATTTTCCCCGAACCGGTTCGCTTTTCACTTTTGGTTTCCATGGTTTTACTATGGGCGAGAAACTCAAATACTTTATTAGGAGGTCAAGATGTGTATGGAATGAAAAGATCCGGTTTATACGATGTTCGAAAAAAATTAGATTAAAAAAAATTCATATCGACTGCTAAGTGGAAGATCGACCTATCTCGGCAGCCAGTTTGAAAACGCCCTATCTCAAAAAACGTTTCAATAACAACCTATTTTAGAATTCGTTTCAAAAATGCACTATCTCAGCTTCCGATTCGAAAACGCCCTATATCAGCACATTTTCAAAGCATTTTGAAGTGAGATAGGGCATTTTTGTATCGAATTCTGAGAATTCCACCAAATTCTGAGATAAGATGTTTTTCAATAAAATTCTGAAATAACGCGTTCTTGAAAAGTTTTTTGAGATAGGGCTCTAGGGATTATCGTCTATAATTTTTTTTCCAACCAAGAACGATTGTCGAAAAAAATTGCCATTAATTAAATGGTTAACGCTACTATATTCCTGCAGCAGAGCAATAGGGAAAAAATGGGGGATGGAACCCAAAATAATACACTGGCTATACACGGCGGTGGTTAGGCCAATTCTCTATCACGGTATAGTGGTATGGTGAAACACCCTTGGGAAAGGGGTAAACTTCAAAAAAATTGACAAGGTTCAAAGGCTTGCGTCCACACTCATAACTGGTGCGATGAGAACAACACCATCCAAGGCACTGTATGCCCTACTGAATTTTCTTCCGGTGGACCTACATGCCAAACAAGTCGCAAGTGGCGCGGCAATTCGAATGAACATTTTAATAAGTGGTCAAATACCAGTTATGGTCACGGTATAATATTAACGGAGTTTCCGCGCATCTCTTAACGAGATGGCTGAGTCATTTCGCCCAAAGGTAATATGGGTTCCGGGACACTGCGGCACAGAGGGGAATTGTAAAGCCGACGAACTGGCGCGACTTGGCACGAAACTTCCTTTTGAGGATATAAATGACGGAATAGGAATACCCTTGCAAACATGTAAGCTACTTATCTCCGAGAGGCTCACTAAAGTAGCGAACGAAAGGTGGCAGGACGAAATCACCTGCTAAACTGCCAAACAATTATGGCCGGTGCTCAGCGCCAAACGCCCTGGCCTACTACTGAGTCTAAATAAGTCCAATATTAGATTATTAGTATCCGTCATAACAGGACACTGCCTAATTGGCAAGCACGCCTATCGACTTGGCCTACGTTCACATGACTTCTGTAGAAGTTGTCAAGATGAAGAAGAGGAGGAAACGATTCTGCACCTGTTGTGCCAATGCCCTGCTCTATCTAGACGAAGACTCTCCACTCTCGGTAGGCAATTCTTCGACAACTTGGAGGACCTTAGATGCGTCGAAATCAGGGATCTTCTAAAATTCGTTCAAAGTTCAAAATGGTTTTAGGAGGGATTGGGAGTTGCTGACCCAACATGCGGCATCACAATGGGCCCTGAGCCTAAGTGTGTCTTATAGACGACCGCGACAACCTACCTACCTACCTTCCCCAAAATAAAAATGGCCAAATTCGTAAACTAGTCAAGGTTTTCATTTCGCCAAAAAAAGGGCAATGGGGTTCATTGAATTTCCTTACAGGCGAGTACGCACAAACTTATTGTGCATAGCTTGAAAACCACTTGAAACCCATAAACGTTTTAGTAAAATCAATACATTTGGGTTGTTCACACTTGGCTGCTTATCAGGTTATCTGGCTATGTGGTTATATTTTTTATTCAGTTTACAACAATAACATATACTACAGAACTACCATTTTTAACCAGATAACCTGATAACCGGGTAAACGTGAACGACCTAATTGTACCATTTTATTATAATTTACAGCCGTACCTTTGAATAGCGGCGGCTTATGTTATTGTATCATACGTCCATATACATACATATGTATATGTACATATGCCTGTTTGTAATTACATAAATACATATGTACATACATATGTATATATGTACATTGGTATGCACAAATCGCGTGACACCTGTATTTTTTTTTTTTATTGCTACATTTCATGTCATGGAAAATCCATAAAACAAACATAGAAAATTCATACTTACAAAGGCCATTTGATAATTTATCAAGCTTTGAATTTACATACACTTGTACTTAACGATTATACTACTTACTGCATCAGTTTTCAAAGACTCATTTATTCAAAAGTTAATGAATGTCGTATGTATATATTAAATGTATATATATCAATATTATAAACTATATAGATTGATTTATAAAATTATGAAATTATTCTCACCGTTTAGATTTTTGCGATTATAAATACATAAGTACATACATATATGTATATGTGCATATGATTACACTTGGCGAGGAATGTGTGCAACAAACATGTATGCAATAGATATTTATTTATTGTTGTTGTTTTTTTAATTATGTATCATGTTAATTTTAGATGAGTTTCCTCTAATTGTTGGCATTTTTGTTTCCCTGGCTAGCTGCTTGAACGGTTTGTTTGTATTTTAGGTTGATTGGTTTGTCCGTGCTATGCAAGCATTTTCCGGCTTTTCTACACTCCCGAATTGTTGTTTATATGCGTTGAAGAGAAAACTTTGACTGTCTGAATATATTCTCTGCGAACAGCATTGTACCGCCGTGCTTATGTCGATTCTGGTGTTTTTGTATGTACATATTTTGATGTTGCAATTTTTGGTGCCGGCACATCTGACGGACATGCGCCCTAGCATATGTTTATAAAAAGTTAAGAAATCTCTCAGAGAGTCGATTCAATGTACCGTAAAATTTTCCTGCTACGAGATACATACATACACTGCGAGAAAGTGCAATCCGTGCACCGTGCAAGGGCTTTGCAAAAGTTCGAGAATCCCACTATTTTATATCAAATTACGTTTTTTTTTTTTTCAAAACATATTGCCCTACATGGCGCAAAATATATTTGATGTTCAACGGTAACTTTTAGCCATTTGAAACTTGAACTTCATTCTATTAAAATTCAATGGTCT